AGGTGATTGGATCCAACAAGAGAGTGGATAAGTGTGGAGTGTGCGGAGGAAGTGGGCTCACCTGTCGGAAGATCACAGGCTCCTACAGCAAAGCAACGTAAGAAGTGTTTTGAATGTAAAGTGTATGTAGTTAAACCTAAGTTCATATCTAATTCCATTAATGTCTGTTTTCTTGAATGTGGAAATTATATCTCTCAAGCCATTCATGTTATCGGCTTCACACTTGGAATGTGTATTGCTAATAGCCAAGGGAAGTGCAGTGCAGAATTTGTGCATTGAGTTGAGCATGTCTTCTTCTACATCATCGGATAAACTACAGCAGTGGTCGACAACTGGGTCAAACCACAGTTTAAAATTGCTTCACGCTGCATCATAGACTGTTTATAAAAAGCTCTGCAAATAAGTTCCAGCACACAAACAATAAAAAGTGGCAGTGTATTGTTGAATTGTTTGAGGAAGACTCACTAAATAATTCTGAAGTAACTCATTCAAACAAACAGCACATTCCTGAAAGGCAGGTTTAGAACAGGCACTTCACTAGTTCAATGAAATACAAAGATGCATACATGTACATTTTAACTGCAGAGTAAAAAAAGACTGTGGAGAAAAGAAAGATAATTAAATGTTTGATCCAATCAGAGATTGTAGAATTGTCAATCCTCATTTGTTTAACAGGAGTTGTATCCATTTTCTATTCTCTTGGAAAAAAATCAGGAAAAACATTTCAAAATGTTGAAGATTTTTAATGCAAAATAAAGTTTATACATGATCATTGACTAAATCCAGTTCTTTTGTTTCTCTACCAGCTATGGATACAGTGACATTATCACAATTCCCATTGGCGCCACTAATATCGACATCAAACAGCGAAGCAACAGAGGGATCAAACATGATGGGAACTACCTGGCTATACGGAGAGAGAGTGGTGGTTACATCCTCAATGGTAACTTTTCTGTATCCACTATGGAGCAGGACATTCCTGTGCTGGGTGCTGTGCTGAAGTACAGTGGCTCCTCCACCACGCTGGAGAGGATCCAAAGCTTCAGGCAACTGAAGGAGGCGGTCACCATCCAAATCTTAGCCACTGCAGGGGACGCAAACCCACCCAAGGTCAAGTATACCTTCTTCATCCCCAGAGATGTGACCTTCAATAAATCCAAGGAGAAGAAGAGCTCGTTACAATCATTGCATATGATCCATCCCTTCGGTGTGCCTGAATGGGCGCTGGGGGAGTGGTCTGAGTGCTCCAAGAGCTGCGGCTCTGGGTGGTCCAGGAGGAACGTTGAGTGCCGAGACAATGCAGGCTTCTTCTCCAACCAGTGTGACAAAGACCTGAAACCTGTAGACATCCGGCCGTGCGGGGATCTGCCATGTCCCATATGGCAATTGGGACCTTGGTCCACCTGTTCACGAACTTGTGGCCAGGGGGAGCGCCGCCGCAGTGTCTTCTGCACAGACTACACTGGGAAGGTTACTGAGCCAGAGAAGTGTGACCCGAACAAAATCCCAGAGCCAGTCTCTGGAGAATGTCTCAACCAGGAGTGCTTATGAAGAACATGAACTTTCCTGTTTTGGTCTAAATGCACTTACCAACCATGGCTGGATTACTGGACAAGACATGCTGGGCACAGTAACTTCAAAGAGACACAAAATACCGCAAAGATACACAAAACAGCCACAAAAGACAAAGAATGAGAGGAGATGCGAAGAGACGATAAACACTCAAAATCTAAACAATTACAAAGAGACACATGACTATAAAAGGACACAAATCACATCAAAGAGATACAACATGACAAACAACATCTCTGAGTCATTCGTTTTGTGTGTTTCTGAGATTCTGACAGATCTGGCTCCCAGGTCAGAGGAGTGGGGGACCTTTTCAAGGCCTGTGCCCAAGGGCCCATTGTCTAATAATCTGTTCATGTTACCAACTGGTTGCATCAAGTCCCACCAAGGGCATTTGCCTGGTTTATTTTATTTGCTGTTCGACATTTGACAACCACTATTGAGATTTGAAACAATGGAAATCTACCTCATGTGATGTATATATGCTAGATGAAGGTGCTGTGTATGTGTGTGTGTGGGTGTTTATGTGGGGGGGGTGTGTCCTGGTGAATGAGGAGTTTTGTAGTCCAGATTTAAACAGAAACTAACTTTATGGGTATATGGTTTGGTAAAATCTGCAGTTTGTTCTAGTCATGGTAAGTTAGGTGTCATTTAAAGTTGGGCTCGAGAAATGGCATGAAATCTGCTGTCAAACACCAGCACAGTGTAAATATACCTCCTCTTGTCCTCTAAAGCACTCGATCCCCTGCAAAGCTTCGATCAAGCCATTGACCTATTGTTGGGGTACGTCCGTATGATTCAGGCCTTGTGATTCAAGGCTTGAGAGAATGCGCTCCAGTTTGATTCCTTATTTTTTTTCCATACATACCAAAATGTGATGTGATAGAGAACCCATGTTTTTATCCCGACACTCAGCAATGTTTAGCGATGGAGAAACAAGTGATTGACACTTAATCTGGCAATACGTTGGACTTTAAACTGTGCCAGTTACAGTCAGCATCAAAACAGCCATGACAGAGATATCCCCCTGTCTTATAGTTTAATATTTGCCTTTGCCTGGGTGCATTATAATGCACAGGAACAGTGGTACAAACTGTTTGCAATGAAACTATTATATTATTTGGAGGTGTTATTACTAAGTTATTAGCATACTATCTTATCGTGTATATGAAAAGTAACATTGATTTTATAATTTTTCAGACTTTTGTTAATGCATCCTATGCAAACCCTCACAGTTGTTTTCAGACTCTGGTATGTACATTTGATTTCTTCATTCCTGTTGATAATTTACGTGTATGTTATAAAACAGATGAAGTATTAGGCCTTATATCCCTTCAGTGAAGGACCATACTATGTTATTATTACCGCTTCCTTTTTAAGCTATTTATTTTTGTAAAGTTTTTACCTTGGACATGTAATTAAAATGGCAAATGCTGCTGTCTTTGAGAATTTTGTCATAAAAATGGTCAAATAAACACATTTATGTCAATATATTGTTCTACTGAGTCGTATCTGCCGTGACAACCAAGAGGCAACATGTCTTCAAACATCTACATCCAAAAACCCTGTTGTTGGTCCTTTTCTCAATTGTCCTCAAAAGCGTCAGTACTCGAAGATTCTTGTTTCAGGTCTGGCGAGTACAATAATGGTTCTACTATCAGGGGGAGCCGTACTTCAAAATGACAAATACATTCCACACAAACGTTTAAGTTTTCCAGAGCACTCTATTACGGGACACTAAAACCTGCCACTGGATGCCAGACTAATGGAATTCTTTTAGGTGGGTCTACAGCTTTTAACAGCTGGGCGAGGCGGATTTCACTGCACGTTTTACAAAGTGAAACCCCTTAAGATGTGCTCTAAGAATCCTCCCACGCTGGAGCTGTTTCTCTGCTCAGACTTTCAGAGCCTTAAAAAAAAAACTCAGTAGCTGCGGTCAGGGAGGAACCAACAGGCAACTACTTAATGTCCTATTTTTAATGTCGGCCGTATTTTATTCACATCTGTCTGAGCTTGGTACATGTGAAAAACATAATTCATTACAAATTACACTATGACCATAATATCATTTACAGAATTTGGTTTGGGGTTATTGACAGTGTAGCAGTATATTTTTAAAATACAACACAGCAGACTATTTCCATCGTTCACCCTCACAGTAGATCAAGCTTCACGAAAATGGAAAAAACAGGTTGGATGTCTGACAATTTGAAACATTACAAAATCGAAACGACTACTGGTGTCTACTTTTAAAAGTCGGACACTGGAAGGAGACAAGACACAGTCTGCCACTTCATTCTTTTTCATGTTGACTATGGTATGGTCTTTACTTGATTATTTTCATGCAACTTTATTCTGCTCTTTAATGACACTACATTTTTGTGAGAGCTTTTGTTGTATAGTTGATTTTAATGAGGAGATTTTACACTGTGGATCAAGAAGTAAGCTTTTAAAATACATTTAAAACCAGTTGTTTCCAACCTTTTTGGCTTCAAGCAGTCTTACAAACAGCAGTATGAAGTCAGAGTCACATTTCAGATGTCTGCACGTTGTTAACAGCGCCAACAAATAATGATTTTTCCCTCTAAACTTCTCACTTGTTTTCATTCCAATAAAAACTCAACATGATCTAATATCTCACCAAAAATGAGATTAGAGACAAAGTACCAAAACTGAAACCAGATTTTTGCATCAGAACTTAGTTTTTCCTCTTTCACCAATCATCTCACGACCCCTCCAATTTATCTGGTGTCCCTGTTAATAAAACACAATGGCCGTTCAAACCGGCTCCACCTCCAACAGCAGTATCATGCTGCTTTCACACTGTTTTATTAATCGAATGATTACACGCATAATTGTCCGATCAGTCAGGGTGACCAAACCAGTAGCCAACATTTACTGTCATGTTTTTCTCCTAATACCCAATGAACCTATAAATAACATTTTTCATGCAGGACTTTTACTTTAGTAAAAAATACTGCCTCCACTGCACTAACCTCCATCAGCCTTTCCTTCCTTCCATTCCCTCATTAATCCTGATTACATCCTGGTCCACTTTCACTGTAACTGCTTGATTGTCTATCGTGCCGGTTGGAGTTGAACTTTTATCCGCCTGCCTGGTTTTGACTTTGTGCATGTTCTGAGGACTTAACCTTGCGCCCGCTGCATTCTGCTTTGTGTGTACCTGCCTGCTGACTTCACTCCTTGCCCTTGCTCGCATCACTTTCAAATAAAGGTGAAGCGTTTGAATTGCATTTATCAGTGTCTCACTGTTGTGCATGAGTTCAGTGGGGAGGGGGGGGGGGCTAAGTATCCAGAGAAGGCTCCTTTTGTCATCATGAATATGAATTTGGATGAAAAAGTATAAAGTATAGATAATTAAAAACACATAGGACTGGATGCATCACATTGCTGAAAGGTCCATGTGAGTGAGTGTAAACAGTGGGAGTCCCTGAGCTGCGGTGCATGTCGCTGACTGTGACGCTTCCTGTTTCTTACAGTACGGTACAGTGAGGGATGCGCGTTGCATTGTGGGGATACAAACACGGCGCACGGAGAGCAGCGGGGAGCACAAAGGATTAAAACCAGCACCTCGGAAACTTTCTGCACCGGCGGGGTTGTGATGTGAATTCACGTCGGCGTCATTCGGACCGTGAGGTTTGGCGGGTGGCGGGCTGACAGCTGCCCGAGAGGCGGTGCAGGGACCGAGGGTGAGCGGCGTGGAGCAGCAGCGCGCACCGCGGGCTCCGCGCGACCGACCGACCGACCGAACCGCCGCTGCTTTTGTCAGCCGAGCCGTTCGCATCCCGAGGCCCGGGCCGCTATCGCAGGCCTCCCCCCGCACCAGGTAAACTCTTTCCCCCCCACAGTCAGCGGGATTACGATAACCCCCGCAGTCCACGCGTGTGTCGGGCCGCGTCGTTGTCCGGGTATCGATCGGGAAAACGGAACCATCTAATGGCTCCGCGGTGCTCTGGCTAGCGCTAGCCTGGTGGCTAACAGTAGCGAATGAGAGCAGGGTTATTCGCGGTCAAACCGGGGATGTGGCTAAACCGACTTCAAAATAAATGGGGTAAATTGAATTTCTTACTTTCTTTGCCGCTTGGTCATCCTGTGTTTGTGCATTGTTAGTGTTTTCAAATGCTGTGTTTGTGCACCATTATAACAAAGTGGAGACCTACGGAACATCAGGCAGCACAAGAGTACAGTTACATTTTAAAGTGGAGGACAGTGGGTGAAAACATTACATATTATTATCGACTATTGCATTACTACACACCTGGTTAGTTACTATAACACCCGAATGTGTTGTCCAAAACAACGTGTTAATATATGATGACGTAAAATCATTGTTAAATGGTATACTAAGCTGAGAGGGTCCAAATAGTCGTGTTTTATTTTGGAGGTGAAAAGCGGATGTGCCTTTGATTTTACCTTTTAACTTGTCGCTGTTAGCTGGTGTTTGCTAAACTGTGATTGTTGCTTGTAACAGGTTCGATCAGAGTTTGTGGTTCACTTTGTCCACGTACCTGTGCACACACACGGAGACACGGGCTCTTTTAGTTTGTGAGAACTTTGACCGGCAGACCACTGCCACATGTTTCTGTCAGACGCCTGTGGTCACTTGCTAATACGTGATGTAAACAGAGGAAAAGTCTCAGGGGTCTGGGGGGGGGCTATATTTAGGGATTCCTGGTTTTGTGTCGAAGTCTGTCCCCCCACCTCCCGAACCTGATCCCAGGTACGAGGAGGGAGGGGATCACCTGGGGTTGTTCACCATGGTCCCCTTAGCTGCAAGGGTTAGGCCGGGTTAACATTAACAAGAGCAACCTTTAAAAAACTGTCAATAGCTGTGACTGCTGATCAATTATGATGCCCGAAAATATTGAACCATCATTTTCCCCCAAAGAGTTTATGTTAAAGTGACCAGTAATAATAACAATGGATGTTTTCACACATCAGTGCAGATGTTTCCCTATTTTAAACCAGAAATTCTATCAAAGACAGAAACAATGGAGAGTTTACCACAAATTACAAAACACTGATTGTTGTTGCAAAGATTCTTCCTCTCCCGCCAGGAGTCCTGACAGTGTAGGTGCTTCTACATTCTTAACTCATCACTATCAACAAACTAATTGTCCCTTTATCACAAAAAATTACGTTCAACATTTCCCAAGACTATAAATGGAACATGTGATTGGTCCGCTTGCTAGCATCGCATTTCTGGAAGACTTGCCACCATTTTTGCATTACGTTAAAGGGAATGAACACGGACAACATTTTTTTTCTCTGTTGCAGATGTTTAAGAATAAATAATTGCTCTTCAACATCTATCAGCTCCAACACGATCCGCTTAGTAACACTCTCCATTAAAATGCGGACCAGAAACTCTACAGATCCCCATATGATACTGGTTATCCAGAATTGTCAACGATAGGCCAATTACAGCCAGACAACCTTAAGAACTAAACCCAGTGGTGTAAGCTCCTGAGGAGGCATAGTCTATAACCTGAGCCCACTGTGATGTAAATACTTTAGTCAATGAGGCACCTTTTAAAGTTGGCAAATAACAACTCACACAGATCACATAGCCGAATAGACTGAAAAGAATCTAATTTATCTGAGCCCTCAGCTTGAATTTGTGGTTTTAAGATAAGAAGCTGTAGCAGTCTGTCCCTGTTTAGAAACGAGCCAGCTGCCTGCAGATGTCTGGCTTATGTTCCTTCAATACAAACAGTGTAGTTTGTGCTCAACCCCAACCCAGTGGAGTTGCTGCACACAGTTGAAACACCAGCTATATTGGAGTCATGGACTCAGATGTAACATTGGCATCAACCTTTGTATAAGACTAAGGATTTATCATCAAGTAATAGGACTCTAATGTGGGACAAAAAAAACTTCACAGAAGAATTGTAGACTCCTTTCTGATGCAATGTTTAAGATAGTTTTACTTAAAAATATACTACTTCTTTCTCAGGTTCATGAACTTGAAAGGACATCCAGTTCTGACATGAAGAACTTAATAGAGCTCCTGTATATAAATAAATCTCCCTCAGGACACTTTACAGCCATATGAAAACCCCACAGTAAAATTAAAGCTCTTTTCTATCACCCGTTTGCTGGTTCAGACCAGGCACTCTCTTGTTGCACCACAACTGCCCAGGTCTATAATTCACTTTGCTTTCACTGGGCCAGCGTAGCCCAAGAGTATTTTCTTTTGGTGTGTGTGTGTGAAGGGGAGTGCGCTCTCCCTGCGAGAGCCCCTTCACATGAGCTTTTGTTTGATGGAAAATCTCATGCCTCAAAGAATCCACATGTCTCTCAGACAGCTGCTGAGCATCCTGTAGTGCACTGGCCTCCACATGGGTCTGGCTCGCATCGCTGCGCATCTGCTTTGATTGTTGTTACATAACTTGGCATTTTGTCCTCCATGCACCCCCTTTTACCTTTCCTTCCCCTCAGAGAACACCTTAGTATTGCTCTCTGTGTGCCCACTGCTTTCCACAGTGGATTTGACTGGTATCATCCCATCTTTACCATAGAGCTGGTGTTTTTTTAGACTGCTCCTTGAAATATTACTTTGCTTTATTTCTAATGGAGTGGTTTATGAGAGTCCATTGTGACTTCACACTTGTTTCTCTAATGCTAGGCCTGGACTGCGTTAAGTAAAGTAACCATTTGAATTATTGGCCCTGGCTAAATACAGTTAAGTACGTGACAGATCAGAATAACAAAGATTAACAAAAATATTTTTTTATCATATTCTTATTATTTTCTTACTTGTTCATATGGTTTTGATTTTGCAAACTGAACTGAATTTTTGTTTTGCTTTTCCTCTGCAGGACGCATTTCCTGTGCAGAGTCAGGAAGTGACTCCAACATGGGGGTCAAAACCTTCACTCACAGCTCCACCTCTCACAGCCAGGAGATGCTGGAGAAGCTGAACGCTTTACGCAACGAGGGTCACCTATGTGATGTCACCATCCGTGTCCAAGACAAGCTCTTCCTGGCCCACAAAGTGGTCCTCGCCTGCTGCAGTGAATTCTTCCGCTCCAAACTGGTGGGCCGGCCGGAGGAGGAGGACAAGTTTGTGTTGGACCTTCACCATGTGACTGTTAGTGGCTTCGCTCCTCTGTTGGAATATGCGTACACGTCGACCCTTTCCATCAGCACCGAGAATATCATCGATGTCCTGGCGGCTGCAAGTTATATGCAGATGTTTGCTGTGGCGAGCACATGTTCAGAGTTCATGAAGTCAAGTATTCTGTGGAGCCCAGGTAACAACAACAACAACAACAACAACATGGCAGCAGATAAACCACATGAATCAGCACAAGAGAGTGCCTCATCAAACTGTGCCCTGACACCATTGGACGGCAGCGTTTCACCTGTGTCGTCGGACTGTAGCGTGATGGAGAGAAATGTGCCAATATGCCGCGAATCGCGACGGAAGCGCAAGAGCTTTGTAACGATGGCGTCGCCTGAGAGTCCACTCAAATGCACTACACAGATTGTCACCACCTCCCCTCAGATCCCCAACCCATCCCCCTCGTTCTCAGACAGCACAGCCCAGCCTGTGGAGTCCTCCCTGGCCTTTCCATGGACTTTCCCATTCGGCATCGACCGAAGGTTCCACTCAGACAAATCAAAGCTCCCAGAAAGCCCTCGTTGTTTAGAGCAGGGCGCTCCAGGGACCTCAGAGGTCGTGGTTGGCCGGCGGCTCAGTGACTACCTGACGTGTGAGAGCTCCAAGGCAGTGTCGTCGCCAGTGCCCGCAGAAGAGGAAGATGTGAGGGTGAAGGTGGAGCGTCTTAGTGATGAGGAGGTCCAAGAGGCGTCCTCTCAACCAGTCAGTGCCTCCCAGAGTTCGCTGAGTGACCAGCAGACGGTGCCAGGGAGTGAACAGGTCCAGGAGGAGCTCCTCATCAGTCCACAGTCATCCTCTATAGGTGGAATATTCTCCCTAATCCACAGCATTTAGAATTATTTCTGCATGTATAATGTTGCCTTATAGTGTGAATGCTTCACCATCAGTCGAGAGTTACGTGGGTAAATATAGACAGAAAAACAACATATCAGTCTTGCTGTATCCATCACTATTACAATAGAATCTGTGTCCTGACCCAGTTACCACAGCGTCGCTTTGTAATCAAACCTTCCCCAGTGGGCTTTTGTGTTGGTGGAAGTGGAAAAATGTTTTGTCCGGGGGCCAAAAAAACAGTTTGAAAATAAAATGGAAACACTGATAATTCAAGCTTTTCATAGGGCACATTTATTTCCAGCAGCATCAATCCTAAATTAAGGGATCAGCCTTAAAAGACCTACAGTAGTAACCCAACCCCACACGAGAGGACTTGCTCTGGGATTGTTTCCTTAGTCTGACATTCAGTAGACAGCTACCATGTGAATAATTTTCTTTGGTTTCCTCAGGGTCGATGGATGAGGGAGTGTCTGAGGGATTGCCGTCAATGCAGAGCACGTCTAACGCTGGAGGACATGCAGAAGATGATGAAAGGTATCATGATTTGTTACAACTTGAAGTGAGACACAAGTCACAGGCAGCAAAGACGATATAGACATGTCTGAGCCGGTGTAGGTAATAAATCTGACACACAATAATATGAAGGATTTCAATGTGAAGTCCTCCAACTGGAAATGCATGAATGTAAAACAATCTGTTGCATGTCACTGTCGTTGCTATCATCTCAGCATTGTCCAAAAACATCCCATTACTGGTTTCTTTAAATGACCAGTTCCTTGACATCGACATCAGATAGTTCTTTTTATTAACTTTTCAAAATCAATGTTTTTTAAGTATTTGTATAGGAGCACGTTTTTTTCAATGTAGGAACACTTACAAGGTTTATTATCATTTAGATTTTCCCTTTGACTGTGTTTCAGGTTGGATGGTATTCAGTATCCATACCACCTCTACATCAGCCCTTCAGCCCGACCAGGCACCAATGGCCCTGATCGGCCTTTTCAGTGTCCAACCTGCGGAGTCCGATTCACACGTATTCAAAATCTGAAGCAGCACATGCTCATACACTCCGGTAAGTGAAATGAGATTAGTCTCAACACAGATCAAGAACAGGTAACAGAGATCTGATCAGCTCATTGCTGTGTAACTCCAATACCTGGGCTGTTTATGACTAAAAATGTCATCACACAAAATTGCTATTGATATTTATTAAGTTTGTAAATATTGAATTGTTTTTTTCTATTTCTGTAAAAAGAAAAATCTAAATTACACCAAATGTCAGTCTTCCACAAATGCAGTGCAACCGTGTGCATCATAAACAGATTACAGTGTTGGCGCTCTTTACTCATATGACAGCACTGTTGGATTTATTCTCACGTTACAAAAGTCAGATGTTAAGTAAGATTGTAAAAAAGTGCTATTAATAGCATATGCAGCCTGGGAGAGAGATCAGAACCTCAGGTAGTTCCTTCATAAAAATATTTTAGATTTGTACTTATATACTGTAGAGTTATACTTTCTTAACCTGATAACGGTGCAGCTACATTTGAGTTTTGAAATGACATCAGGTTTTGTTTTCACTCTATTATCAAAAGCCAAAGGCATCATATTCTCAGCCTTCAGTCATCACCCTGCTATGGAAACTATTTCAAATTTACATAAATCCTAAGCAGCATTTCATGACTCAGTAAAAGAACGACACAGAGCAGGTCAATTCTATATGTTAGGACATTTACTTCCCTTTTATCACGTTTGAGACGTCTACAAATTTAGAAAATCATTTTATATGACTCCTGAAGAGCAAACCTGTTACTAAAAGGAAAGACTGTTTTGTTCCTTGTCTTTTCAAGTAGAACATTCAAAGTTAAATATAATAAACATTCATGTTTTCATTATTTTCACATTAACTGATTTTAACAAAAGATTGAAGTTTAACTGAGGTTCTCAGTATCAGTTGTATATTTTGCTAATGGAGATCAAAATAAATGGTTCAATGAGTTTGGCTTACTATGCTATCCAACATATTGTGTAGAGCTTAGTGAAGAATGCATGAGGCCTTTTGTTCTGGGAAACACTGATTTGGAATACGGGGAAACACACACACACACACACACACACACACACACACACACGCACACACACACACACACACACACTTGGATACAAACACTTGTGTGATGCTACAGTACAGATCAGCTAAGCACTGCGTTTTTCGTCTCCCTCAGGCATTAAGCCTTTCCAGTGTGACCGCTGTGGGAAAAAGTTCACACGGGCCTACTCCCTAAAGATGCATCGGCTGAAGCACGAAGGTAAACGCTGTTTCCGGTGCCAGATTTGTAGCGCCACATTCACGTCCTTCGGTGAATATAAGCACCACATGAGGGTCTCCCGACACATAATCCGCAAGCCGCGGATTTACGAGTGCAAAACGTGCGGCGCCATGTTCACCAACTCTGGCAATTTAATTGTACACCTGAGGAGTCTGAACCATGAGGCATCCGAGCTAGCAAACTACTTCCAGAGCAGGTGAGGAGTCAGGGGGCGCTGACCCCCATTATTTACTCAGATCTCACCTGGATTAGAAAATAACTACATTTAGATTTTAATACCTGAGGTTCATTTGACTTTGGTTGTGTAGAATTGTTTTTGAGTTGATTACAGTTGATTTGAATGTTCAGATCAAGTGTACCTGAAGTTTTGAGCTTTTGTTCATCGGCGAGTTTTTATTTTACTTACTTAAAGGAATATTTAGACATTTTGGGAATATACTTAATTTATTTCTTCCAAAAAAGTCAGATGAGGAGGTTGATAGCACTCTCATATCTGTAAGGTAAATATGTAGCTGGGGCCAACAGCAACATTATGACGGCAACAGAGAAACATTGTCCTGACTCAATCTGCCTACCAGCTTCTTTAAGTTCACTCATTAACACATATCTCATTTATTTAATCAGAACAAAAGCTGAAGTGAAAAATTGCCAGGGGTTCTGTGTCTTGGCTCGGTGAACTGGAGTTCTTACAGTTCAGTCAAGATATAACGTGTTAACTCCTGAACTTCAGAGAGGAATGTCGATGGATTTTGTACCTTTTTAATATACCGTAGATTGTCGAGCTCTTTCCTTTGTTTCTGACTGTAGCTTTGATATTGAATCAATAAGTAATTCACTATGAGAGCGGTGTCAGTCTTCTCTAAGTCTTGGCAAGAAATCAATTTGGCGCATTTACCAAAATCCTGAATTATTCCTGTAACATTCACCATTGAGAGGAGATGGCAAATACCTCAAGCACGTTTTCACTTTTTTGACAAAATTCCATGAGATGTGACGATGAAGTTGGTAATTTAATTTAAAATTCAGTGAGTGAAGAAACCAAGTCTGATATTTCAGCATGATTTAGAATCACACTTTTTTTATAGTCCTGCACTTTGTTAACGAGAGTTGCACCATGAAAACTTGAGTTCGCTCATCCAGTCCCCATAAAACACAACTTACTCCTATTGACTCCTCAAAAGTTTTTTCGGTAAAAGGTCTAAGCCTGAGATCGGATAATATGGAAACTGAAAGATTTGTTAACTTCACTGTATTTGTCTCAAATTTTAGAGACTCTGTCATCGGAATTCAAGTGTAGTTATGAAAACCCGTCCGTTCAGTTTATTTTGATGTGTAGATCATATGATGCAGCGTTTTCAAACAGTGAGTTAGTTCTGTTTTGTAATTATACACGATCAGAAGCATTTATAATCACGTCGTCGTCATCTCCTCTTCTAGTTTACTTGTGCTAAACTTGTTTGCAACAATCATTGCCATAATAATTTGAATTAGATCAGAAAAAAATGTAATCACTACTAAATTTGCTCTGAAACATTTAAACTCTGAAAACGATCTTTTTGAATTGATATGGCTGATGATGAATTTTCACTTTGAGTACTAGTCTGAGTGGGAGAGGTCTCGCTCACTCAAAAGGCCATACGGGGATATTTGTTATGTTGTTGTTTCATCTCAGGCCTGAGAGAAAAAAGTATTTTTTCATATCTTGTACAATATCAGTAATCTTTTGATTTCTAAAATAGAATTAATTCAACCTATTATGGCGATAATAACAAGAAAATATCCACTCCAACACACTTACAACCCGAACATTGTGTATATTTTTGAGTTGATTTTGTTTTTCTACTCATTAAGCTTCACCCGACTGTGTCCGATGTGAGAGATTATAACAAACTGTTTTTGCCGTGAAATGATGTAAACAAATCAAGCTAATTATGTCAAGATCACAAAACATATCTTGAAATCATAGTTAAACATCAGAAAATGTCTTCATCATGTCGTCTGTACCGCCCCTGTAGATATTTAGATATTTTCAGTGCAGCTAGGATGGAGTTGTGTTGCAGAAACCAAATAATGGGACAGTGAACTCAACACATTCTCTTGATTCTTGCAGTGATTTCCTCGTGCCCGACTACCTGAGCCAGGTACAGGAGGAGGAGGAGGTGCTGGGAGTGCAGTATGAGCTGGAGGAGTCCCAGCATCACCCCGTCTACCCAGGCAGCACCTCCACCACCACTGCCACCTCATCCTCCTCCTCAGTCCAGATGCCCGTCATCTCCCAGGTCTCCTCCTCTACCCAGAATTGTGAGAGTTCCTCTGGCTTCCTTTCACCCGAGCCTCTGGATCCCATGGAAGCCCAAGCCTCCCTCAAGATGGACGCTGACGAGACGGCAGCCACGACAGAGGAGACCAAGATGGACGACAGTGTAGGTGGCAGTTCCCCAGAGGTGTTTGAAGAAGTGCAGCAGCAGCACGCCCAGGCCAAGGAGATGGTTTCTATCACCATAGAATGATTAAAGAAGTCTTGCACTTGCTCATCTTGTCTTATTTTGCAGCCATGTCATATGGGAATATCTGTCGGAGCGACTGGACACGTGCACATGTTTGAAATGTCATCATGTAAAGCCACCATGATTAAAGTTACCTGAAGACTTCAGTTGCCTTAGTTTTGCTTTCCACATGCAACTCAGATGCACTTATGAGTTGATGTTTCACACTAAACCAAATCCAGCAAAGCAAACGGTCATTTTCTTTGTGACAGAATATGATATCATTTGGTCGTATGAGATTTCAGCAGATCAAACTCTGGGCTCAGTTTGTCCCCAAACCTGAATTATCTCCTGAATAAGCAGGTCAACAGTTTTTTGTTTTTCTTTTCTTTGAAGAGTCATTTTTCAGAAGGAAGTTTTTTCCCATATGACATGAATGCAGCGCTAGGTAAAATCATTTCTGTCTTAGCCAATTTGAGGTCTGTTCAATCCAAGCCTTGCCCTATTTTTGGAAAGTGCCTGAGTTCCCATTTTAACAAAGTAACGAGTAGAGGAGGAAGAGGTCTTGACTTTGCCAGCAGTGACAAACCAAGTCTGCAAACTGAGCAAAAGAAAAAAACATACCTGTACTTCATTTGTTGTGATAATGCTAGTTTGTATGAGCAGACACTCTGTTATTCCTTCAGTGCCGTCGCTATAGGCAAACTGTTAAATGTCAATATTATCTATATTGCAATAGCTTGTTCTGTAGTTTTACTATTTGAATGCTGTGTATGTTGGGTGTTGTGACATATATGTCAGGTGTGTGTATGTGCATTTTTTAAAAATCAATATCAAGACAGAACATTTCAATTTAAATGTTTAAATCTTGAAATTATACAGACAGAGTATTCCCTTTAGATGTTTGTGTAGTATATGATTTTTCGGACTTTTCTGACGTATATATATATATATATATATTTTTTTTTTATCTCTAATGAACACTGTTGTTAAATCAAACCTGAACTCACAGAGTTTAGAAAAAAAGAAAAACTCAGATAAGCACTGATGCATTTTTTGTTTCGAAACAAACAAACAAGTGTTAAAATATGACCAAATCTTATGTCAGAAGAATTTTAAATTTGGAGTTGCTGTTCTCAAATGGGTTCTGAGATGTGGTAATGTAGCATTTCATCCTGGTTGAAGTTGGGTCTGCTTTTCAAACAGCCGTTTTTGTTTTCATTTTGAACACACTTTGTTACAGATATTGATTTTTAGATGAATATCTGATTCACATTATGGTTATCCTGATTAACCAAGGTACACTGCTGATGTTCTAAGGCGTTGCATGACTGTTGAAGTGATGTCTAAATAAGGTACAACGTGATTGTCTTTTATTTTATCTTTTTTTAAAACCTCCTTGTGTGAATTTCTTTTCTGGATGACAAACACAAGAATATTCCCCAATAGTGTGGATGAACCACCAGCATTCTCACTTTTAAACAGAAAAGCTACTCTGTGAAAATATTCCTGACTAAAATTTGGATGCAGATAGATTGTGAAGGCTGTGATGGTCAGTTTTCATTCAGAAAGTCAGAGTACAAAGTCACGTGGTCACGTTTTGTTCAAATACAGCTTTGAAAGCAGCAGCAGCAGCAGCGTGCTGTCGTGTGAATGCAAATACTGTGAGTTGAATCATTCTAAATGATAAATTAAGCGTAGCCTTCACCTCCAACTGTTCGGCAGTGGGTGTTTCTAATTTCATTTATGCTTTTATGCTGATTTTAGGTCAAACCTCCAACTCCTGTTACCCGTGTTGTTCCTGTGTTGTGCTCTGGTTGTGCCTGTATTTAGAGAAGATAATGATGCTCATGATCCATGAGTTGAATGCTACTGACTGTGAATGGGGTTTTTTTTTCTTGTTGAGTGAAAGCTTTTATTTTCTGTTGCCCCCTGAAAGTATTGCTAATGGCCCACATGTAGGATTCTCACAGTGGGATGTAAGCCCTCACACGAAGGGTTGATTGTAAATGTAAAGATAAATATTTCTGTGAGAAGGGCGTGAATATAAACGATTGTGTCCCATTCATTGCAATCCATTGAGAGCCGTCTAAATAAGAGCTTGTGTTACCCCGCCCCAGCCTGTCTGTCACTTTTTTCAAAGTTGTGCCATTTGCCCTTTTTATCTGGGTACATATCAAGCTTTTTCCTACAGGACCAAATGTCCTCTGTCTCATTGGGGATTTGCCGTGGCAATCAGTATCTGCACATATTAAAAGAAAGAGATAATCATTTCAAGTGGTCCATGCTATTTAGCAAAGGGGTCCTGCTGTTTCGGCCCTGAAAACACTGTATGATGTTGTGCTTTTAAGAGGCTAGCCTTAGTAAATGGACCTATTAACTCAAGTTGCACAATATCGAAATTTTAAAAATGTTTTCTATTCTCCATTTGTACGTCATGCTTTTCATCTGTTGTGTTCGGTGTCTGTATTCAAAAAGTTTTTATAATGAAATGCTGCTGTTTGTTGAAACGCAAAGTGCCCAAAATATTTTTGTGAACCAATGGTGTGCAATAAATGGACAGGTGGTGTTTTCAAAGTTTTGATTTTGTCTTTGGAATGATGAATTATATGAATTATATATATATATAAAAAAAAAAGAATGTATCGTTTTGTTTCATTCTAATGTGACTGAAGGTGAATCAAATAGGCGAGGACCCCATTTGATCTGTGAAACGAGGAACGAGGCTTTGATATTTAAAGACTGGTTCTGTTCAGCTCCTTTTCGTTTTGTTTTCTAAAATTGCATGTTCATATTGTTCTGTGAAGTGGAGAGCATGTCTTCAGTTAGTGATCCGTTCCGTCAAGGCCTTATTTGTCGATGACTCCTCATGCAGCAGAGCTTTGATCAGTTGTTCAGCATGCCCTCTTCTTTTCTGTACGTTATCCCTTTATGTGCAATGTTAAAATATCTTGATTATAAACAAGACATGCCTTTTAAATATACACTCAATGTTGTATATGTTTTCCAGTCCTTAAGGTTTATTTAAAAGTTGGAAAATATAAGAAAAAAAAAATGGTAGCTCTTCATAACAGCATATATATTTTTGGTGACTTTTGTACGGGTGCTGTTTCATGGCACCTTTGGATAATCTTGTTAAATGTGAATAGAACACCTTAGTCTGGGAGTTTGGGGGGCATTGGTAGTCTTCACTTTGTGACTGTCTGCAATGTGTGTATATGTTTATATATATAAATATATATATATAAATTTACAGTATATACACTCATACTATGTTGCGTATTCTTTATACTGTAGGCTACTTGATTACAACCTGCTTTGAGACAGATGTTGTATTTTGTGTCTTTGATACTGTATTTAAACTGTAGTTTGAAGAAACTGTACAAAAACATCCCAGATAGCAATGCAACCTGCACATTGAATAGGGAGAACTGATGTTTGTGCTGTTGAGTGTTTAAACTGGATCATATTCCACAGCTGGCTTTTAAAAACTGACAAGACCACTCTGTATTTTTCGGGTTTATGGTTGTTCTGAATCTTTACTAGTGTTCTGGCTTTGCAGTCCTGTTGTTATTAAAAAAAAAGAGTCACTTTTGTAAAAGTATTAAAATATAAATAAAAAAAACCAAAAGTCAGAATAAGTCTAAAACTTGTCTGAAGTTTTTTGTTGCTGCAATATATTTCAGTTTAATGTGAACTAACTTTCTTTGTCAATACATGACTAATATATTCTGCATCATCACAAGTCAAACATGGTTTTATGAGGCGCACACTTTAAAACACTAGATTTTTTATTAGTTTGTTTGAGGAACCAAACACCGGCAGTCAAACCGCATCTGATCGGATGAGCCCACCCCTGAAGATCAGGAATTAAGACCGAGGAGTTTGTGCCCCATCTCTCACAGTGTAGTCGACTCTATGAAGCAATGAAGCAGAGGAAAAATAATGATGCCATCAACAACCATCCAACTTTATCAAGACAGACTTTTTTACAAAGGCTTTCAAGGCCATTCCCGGAGTATTATTTTCTCCTCTGGCAGCTCTTCCCTTCATTAGACAGCAGACAGTGAGGCGAGGGGAGCAAGAGATGATGCTTTGCAAAAAAGGTCCCCAGCCAGATTTAAAGTAGGAACATTTGTGGTTACATGGTCAGTGTCTTACAGCTCTAAGCCACCAGGGCCGTCGAGAATCCTCCAAAATATCCATTCTCTGCAGGAGTCTGGATCAACCAACAGCCCCACACAGGTTCTGAGGCTCCTGTCAGGATTTAAAGTGGTCGAAACATCAGCTCATGAACGTTCATTTCTTTAACGTCCTGCAGGCGACAGTTTTAAAGTCCCTCAAAGTAGACAGTGAAGACGTGTCTCCTCTGTCCCCTCAGAGGGACAATACTAGGGACAAAGATCCATCAAGCACCATGAAGACGACTCATAATAACGAAGCTCAGCGTAGATCAGTCAGGAAGACGTTACCCCGACTCAGTCAATCTCAAATCTCCTGCGCTACGTTCTGCTTCACCTCCATCTAATCCCGATGGCATCACGTAACATTCACATCAGGTTGAATCTCTCCTGAGGGTAATAAATGATAAATGATATTTGATCCTTCACAGACTCATATTTTACAAAATTCTAAATAAAATCACCAACCTGATACAAGTTAATACAACACACACACACAAAGGAATGGTCGGTTCTCCGAACAGTTTAAATGTTTAGAGTTTGTCAGCATTTAAGTGCATCTGACTTTTATTAGGAGCATTTTGAATATTAGAGAATGTATTCACACTTTTGGATGGTGCAGTTCAGCCCCTCCACGAGACCATTTGTCTGAAGGTAGTAAACCGAGCAGAGGTTTTGTTTCATCCCCAGATGTTCTGATAATCCAAAAATCGAACTGTGAGGCAGATTAAACACACACACACACACACACTGTGGTTCCAGACATACTGTTCCTATTAATGTGTTACACTTAATAGGCCGAGACTAATGTTGTACAAACCTTATTTACTCTTTTGCGAGTCCTCTGAGGGCACCACACTCATGGAAGAAGTCCAGGACAACATCAAGACACTTTCTTCAATGTCCACCATGAGGCAAATATTTGTTGTGGTATTTTACAATGAGATCAACAGAAGTTATTGTCCCGGTGCATCCTGGTGCATTCA